GTAGCGCGGAGCGCGGCCAGGGATATGGGGGCAGGTGCTCGTGCGGGCACGGCACGTGACTCGACGGGGCGCAGATGTTGGAGTGACACGGGGGCTGCGCCGCTGCCGGAGCACGGCGCCGGCCGCCGGCGAGGGAGAGTCAACCAGATTCTCCGACTTGCTGTGGTGAAGTCACACGTGAACAGTACGTCTAACTTTGCTCCTTTTCCTAAAAAAACATTGCTCCTTTTCGGCCGCTGGATACAAAATTGACGCTCTGGATTAGTTGCAACAGAATACTTCGAATGGTACTTTGATCCCCGACACGTAAGTTCAAAATGGCATAATGGAACCAGCAACCAGTATCAAAGTTCAAAAAAAAAACTATATAAGTGCATTTTGCAGATTCCATTATGCCATCAAACACGTATTATGTTGCAAGGCATCCCACGAACGTTCACAGTACGGACCGCCTATTATAAGAAATGAATGACATATATGATGATAACACTATGAGTCGCTACGGTGGTTCTCGACCACAACTGGTATGGGAGAAAAATTTAGAGTTTGAAACAACAGATTTTTTTCCCTATGGAGATGCCTACACATGTTTTTTGCATTCTAGCAAATCATCACATCGAAAGTATTTCTCGATGTCCAATATGCCAAGCGGCAGCGGAGAAGCACACCTTATTTATGTGCGAGAGAGCAATGACAGTTTGGACTGCGCTTGGGACCGGGAAGATGGTGAAGGATGCGTCGCTTGTTGACCGCTTAGGGTCCAGTGTGATGGAACTTCTCTGGTGTGATTCTTCTGCGCAATACATATATAACGATTCGATAGAACTCCCACAGTTAATCGCTACGGCGAGTTGGTTCATTTGGTGGCAGCGCAGACAACATGTTCGAGGTGAGATCGTTCAGACCACTACGACCGGCGCCGACTATTCGTGCTTTGGCTCTGAACTTCACACGGGCGGTGGGGAAAGAAAATCCTACACCTAGACGGAACACTTGGCCTGTTGTTCTGGCATCGCAGCAAGTGTTACATGTTGATGCTTCATTCAGTAAGGATCTTCACTCGGGATCATGTGGAGCTATAGTTAGAGACCATAGAGATAATTTCATTGTTGCGTCTACCTCTAGCCCTAAGCACGTGGTAGATATCGTCTCCGCGGAAGTAGCAGCACTCCTTGAAGGGTTAAAGTTAATTCAAAGCTTGGGGTGCAATAATGCCTAGGTGAGGATGGACAACATTATTGTGGTCGATGCTCTACGTCAAAATGAAGGCCATTTTGTGGTGTCGGTTCCAGTTTTAGATTATTGCAATGAGTTATTGAGAGAGTTCGGGAAGGTTACTACCGAGCATTGTAATAGAGAGCCTACTGTTGCTGCTCATGGTCTAGCTGAGTGGGGGGCGTGCAAACACTCCGTTTGTATGGGTGGATGCGCTTCCGGTTTTACTGCTAAAATTTTAGTAGATGATGTAAGCCTTATTTGAGTTTTAATAAAGCTAACCATGAAGGCCTTCTCGTAAAAAGAACACTATGTGTGCCTACCCTTCACCAGACAGCTTCTTCCGTGTGTGTTGCTTGTAGCAGATTTTGCCCCTTGGCTCCATTAGTTCGTCCGATCTTGATTGTTTTCACCTATTTCTTTTTTTCATGTAAATATGATTGTTGAACATCTTTCTAGACGAGGGTATGATTTGTTGTTCCTCCCTAAAAGCCCATTGGACAACCGCACAAATCCTAGGGCCCAATACACAGCCGCCGCATTGCATCCTCGTCACCACAGTCGCAATATCCCTCACGTGCTTGAGCCAGGAAAATCCTATATAACGCATGTTGCGCCAGGTTGCCGGTTTTTGACATCAACATTGGTGCTTTCGTTAAGATCTCGTTGTTTGATCGCTAGGGATCGATGGCTCGTCTGCAGATTAACAACAGTTTTTTCTAGACAGTGGGTTCGTGTTCATGGTCCCCACATCCTTGAGCATCACTTTGACGATTACTTCGGTGGAATTGAATCTACAACAACCCTGTAAAATTTCGTCGCCTTCCGATGGAGGAATCTCCGACAAACTCTGATCTACCAGAGCCGTGTCGAATCTGGACGAGAATTTGGACGAGTTTAGGGAGAGGAGTCCAGCGTCCAGCTCGGACATCCTTTGGAAGATCCAATTGTTCATCGGATGCAGAATTCCCATATCGACAACCCCTCAAAATTGCAGCTCGATCCGACCGCTCAAACTCCAGAAAACGCCTGATGAGTGCATCAATTTTCGAATCTGTTTTCTACGCGAAAACAAGTCCGACTCGAGTTTATATTTCTTTATGAACTGGACATTGGACATCTTTATTGAAGGAAAAGAAATTTCTAGGGTATTGTGTATTGTTCTCAAACACGTCCCACAAATTTGGAGACTTTTCCGAGGCGATCTTAACCATTGCGCCGGTGTCAAACTAGCCCAACATCGTCGCCTCATGGATTACACGGAGCGGGCACACCGACATCGTTGTGTGGTCACTTCATCAAGCCGACATCAATTGCGTCACAAATTTTGACCTGCATCAGCATCGTCGTCACCTCTTCTTCAAGCCGACGTTTAACATGCCGACCTACTTCGACACATCGGTCGACATGGATGCTTCGGCACCTCAGCTGGACCGGGGGCTTCGCCTCGACATATCGGCAAAGTTATGTTGTCACTTCATCAAGCCGAGCTCTTCGCTCCGGAACCTCAGGATCGGCTTGGAGGTAGGGACCTTGACCCACCACAAGCTCAGACCACGTCATCAACACCGAGCGCATTAACCAACTAAGTCACTTTGATGCTCAAATTCTTTAAATGTTAAATTTTTGTTCAGTCCAACCATGCATTATATTTGTTTAAACAAAGAAGCTGGTTGTTAAAAACTTAGTTTGTTAGAAACATTATTCGTTAAAAACACCTCTTTTACTCAAGTTAATTGGGGGCTCTTAAATTTTATGAGCCGTTTTATAATAAGTGTTTTCTTTCTTGCACACTACCCGTATGAGGCGTTCGAGACCCTGCCAGTATGTATGTACGTGGCCGTATTTTCTTTCTTGCATACTGGTCGCTGTACGTATGTGTACATGCTACGTGTGCGCCTCTCCTACGACACGTGCGCGCCTCTACATCGACCAGTATGTATGTACATGTTCGCGACCAGAATGACAACGCTACGTACGCTTCGACTAGGTGGGTCCCGACTGTCAGGCACTTCCTTGCCTGCGAAGATGTAACTGGTGGGTCCCAGCAGTCAGGGGGGTGAATCATTTTTTTTGCCCGGACGCACTTCCTTGCGTGCGAAGATGTAGCTGGTGGGTCCCAGCAGTCAAAGAGAAACGTTTTTTTTGTGAAATACGGTGGCCCGTCCAGTGGGTCCCTACTGTCAGGTGGAGTAATAATTATTTTGCCCGTAATAAGGAGGCACTTTCTTGCAGCTGCCGTGGACCCAGTTGTCAGCCTCTCCACGTACAGTACTCTTCCGATGGAAGTCGTTCCTTGACCATGTTGACCACGCCGCGCAGAGAGAACCAGGGCGGTGGACGACGGCGAGCGGCGAGGCCTAGGAAGGGGACGACGCGGAGCCGAGAAAGACGCGGCAGTGGAAGCCCGCACGGAGAGGAGTACAAGGGTTCACTGGTTCGGCTGCGGTGTGAGGCTGTCGTCGCTGCAGGGCCTGACCAGCGGTGGAAATAGTAGGGGGCGGTGAGGCCTCCGCGGCAGCACAGCCAGCCACAGGAGGCAGGAGCATGCAACACGACCAACGCTGCTTTGGGCGGCTGGAGGAAGAAGACCAGAGGTTGAAGAAGCACTACGGCCGTTGGATGGACATCGTACGGTCACTGGAGCTAGAATCGTTCATATTGACTAAGTTGACAAAGCACTCCGTCCCCGTCAACTTAGTAGGCCCACAAGTCAGCCTCCCACCAAGGTGGGTCCCAACTAGCAGGGGGAGTATTCATTTTTTTTGTGCGTAATAAGGAGGCACTTCCGGTGGGTCCGAGCTGACAGCGGGGGGAACACTTTTTTCGCGAAATACGGTGGCTCGTCCGGTGGGTCCCAGCAGTCAAGGGGGGAACGTTTTTTTGCCAAATACGATGGCCCATCCAGTGGGTCCCTGCTGTCAGGTGGAGGAATAATTATTTTCCGCATAATAAGGAGGCACTTCCTTGCGGCTGCCGTGGACTCAGCTATCAGCCTCTCCACGTACAATACTCTTTCGATGGAAGTCGTTCCTTGACCACGTTAACCACGCCGCGCCGAGAGCACCAGGGCGGTGGACGACGGTGAGTGACGAGGCCTAGGAAGGGGATGACGCGGAGCCGGGGAAGACGCGACAGCGGAAGCCCGCGCGGAGAGGAGTACGAGGGTTCACTGGTTCGGCTGCGATATGAGGCTGCCGTCGCCGCAACAGGGGTGTGGGTGAGTGGAGGGATGGCCTAGCCAGCGATGAGAGTAGTAGGGGGCGGTGAGGCCTCCGCGGGAGCACAGCCGGCCACGGGAGGCAGGAGCAGGCGGCACGACAGCCGCTGCTTTGGGCGGCTGGAGCAAGAAGACCAGAGGTTGAAGAAGCACTACGGTCGTTGGATGGACATCGTACGATCACTACAGCTAGAATCGTTCATATTG